GCCTCATCCTTCCTGCCCGTCTCTGTCCCACCTCAGTCCAGCTCGGGGAGGCCTATGCATGGCAGGGGTCTGGGGAGAGAGCCCTGTGGGCCCTGTCCCAGCACCCACCCTCCAGAGGAAATGCGCTGGGAGCACGCACAGAGCGGATGCCAGCAGGCACCCTCGGGCCTGATAAGGACCACAGGGCCCAGGGCTGGTCCCCTCTCCCTTCCAGCCCCCCGACCTGGCCAAGCCCCACGGAGCCAGGGCATGGCAGCCCCTAGCCCTTCAGTCCTCAGCGCCTGCCTCCCGCCTCCTCTCTGCGCCCACAAATGAGATGCTAATTTATGCTCCTTCCCTGTCTCCCGGCAGATGCCTGGCCCTGCTCAGCCCGGGTGCTGCCTGCATGCCAAGTGCTTCATTAGCCAAGAAGGAAGGCTCTCGCCCTCCTTAATCTGATCATCGCCAGTGACCTTCAGGAGCCGGGCACCTCTGACGTCGGGGGGCCTGGGAGGGGGCGGCAATCAATTATGCCGCGGCCTCCGCAGCTGCTGCCGAATGGATTTCTCACTCAGAAAAGCGTGTTCAAAGAGCATCTAAATGGAACGGATCATCAATTTGTTTGAATACACATCTAATCTGATTAGGGGGGCCCAGCCAGCAGGGCAGCCAGCACAACCGAGCCTCGACATGGCCCCGGGGAATGGTGAGTGGGGAGGAGGGGCCCAGCCTAGGGAAGGTGGGGTGTGGGACCCAAGCCCACCACCCAGGCTTCTCAGCCCATTGTACGTCCAGCCAGAGCCACAGAACAGAAGGAAGCTGGCAGAGACCAAGGGTCTAGGATGATGCCTCCTGGGTTTCTCCTGCCTCAGCTCTGGACGCAGAATCTGAGGCAGAGAAGATGCTCAGAAATGAATGAACGAGCTAATGAATGAACGGATGATGGTGAGGTCCAATGTGAAAGCTCAGGGGTGACAATGAAGTCCACTCCCGGGCAAGACTGTGAATGCCTGTACTGGGTTGAATGGCGTCCCCTCACCCGCCATTCATGTCCTTCCTGGAACCGCGGAATGAGACTCTATTGGGAAACAGGGTCACTGTAGATGTAAATCGTTAAGATGAGGTCATCTGGGAGTAGGAGGCCCTGTGTGGCTGGTGTCTTTACAGAAGGAGGGGAGACACAGGAACAGAAACACAGACGTGGCCACGTGACAATGGGGGCAGAGACTGGAGTGGTACAGCCACAGGCCAAGGAACACCCACAAAGGTGGACAAATGACCTTGCTGTTGACCTTGGCCAGGTCACTTCCCTCTCGGGGGCTGACATTCCCAGGGACTCTCGACGTCCCCTTCCAGCTCTGATGCTGCAAGATCTGAGAGGGGGTGTGGGCTGGGCCCTGGAAGGGGGCCGCCCGTGTTCAAATCCAGGCTCAGCCCCTCACCAGCTAGGGGGCCCCAGGCATCCCTGTAACCTCTCCATGTCTCAGCCTCCTCAGCTGAGAAATGGGAGAGCAGGGCTGCTGCCTCGCAGGCCCAGGGAGAGGAGTGAGTGCGTGGACCAGCGCCGGCACGAGGAGCCCACGCGAGGGAGCTGTCTTAGCCCCCCGTCCTCTGCAAGCCCATCTCCCAGCCAGGGCCTCAGGCCTGGACCTCACAGGTAACTAAAGCCACAGCATCCCAGCCTCGCGTGGAACAACGATGGTCCTCATTTCCCAGGGGGTTGTTCTGCTCCTAACGGAGTGAGGGAGCCCTTTCTCGCATTTCCGACGGAGGGCTCGGAGATAGAACCTATGTCACTGGTTAGAGTGTTTTTGCCTAACGGCGGCTGTTGTCGCTTTAGTATATTCAGAGTCACCCGAGTTGTACAAACGGCGATGAGAACGGTTTCACTGCCTCCTGGAATTCCTCCCAGGAGCTCCATGACACTGTGTGGGTGTCACTTGCCTTCTCCTCGGTGACCCCACGGTGGGACATGTGCTTGGATTCTCCTGTTTCCAGCTGATTCTCCAAAGACCCCTCGGCAGGTGAGCTCCTGCATCGCTGGGTGCCACTACCAGCTCTGGTACCAGAGAAGCACCCGCCCCCCACAAGCCCGGAGAAGCGGAGAGAAGGGATGGCCAGGCCCACGGCTGCTTCCAGGAACCCACACTGGGCATCTCTAATGTCCCCCGTGGCCAATGGCGACATGGTGAGTGGAGCCCTGGACACAGAGTCTGAGGCAGAGAAGATGCTCAGAAATGAAGGAACAGATGAATGAATGAATGACGGTGAGGTCCAATGTGAAAGCTACTGGGTGACAATAAGTCCACTCCCGGGCGAGACTGCCTGATGCCTGTACTGGGTGGAATGCACCCGTTACCCCATTTCCGATTACCCATCCGAGGGAGCTGAGCTGGACCATGGGCCTGTGCGGGGCTCCCCACTCGGCCTCATCACGCCCCCCAAGAAGACCTCCCCCCCACTGCAGTGGCTTCCCCGGAATCCCGCCCCCCCAACCCCCTTCCCAGGCACCAGGGCGGGCTGCTCACTCAGCCCGGAAGGGAAGAGAAAGCTGTCTGTGAAAGCACAGTGCCTTCCAAGCCCCCTGCGTTTTCTCACTTCATGCTCCCGGCCACCTTGGGGAGAGTCACTGTGATGACTGCCCTTTGTTCCTCTCTCCTGAGGCTCAGAGGGCAGAGGCGCGGGGTCGCCCTGGAGGCAGAGCCGGGTTTCGAACCAGGGGCTGCCTGCCTCCCTGCGGGGCCTCTGATCCCCTCTCGGGTCGGCTGTGTTTGGATCCCAGGGGAGGCATCCGGGTGGGCCTGGGTGGGAGGGAAAAGCCAAGGCCCCACCTGCCCCCGGGGGCTGGGAGACGGAGCCGCCACGGACGAGTTACACGCGTTCATGGGCGGGTGACCCGGTGCGCCGGCGCTTTGCGGCGGGTAACAAACACTGCGGAGCAGAAAATTGGAGTTCAATTTGCCGTCCAGCCCGCACGGCGCTCAGCCCATTCCGTCCCCGGCAGGCACCTCTGCGTTTCATCATAAATAATAACAGCACGCGGCCGACGGCCCTTCGGCGGCGACAGGCCCTGAGCCATTTACAAGCTGGTCATACGCGGAGGCCCGCACACGCCACTCGCAGGGGAACACGTGCCACCCTCTTTTCCTGTGTCACCCCCCGGGGGCCATGCCCAACCGGAAGGGAAACAAGCCCTTGTCCCCGCGGACACCGGGCTCAGCCTGTGCCCGGGCCGCCGTCCTGGCCTTTTCTGGAATTCATCCTCAGAGAAGGCCCACCAGGGACAAGCCCTTTGCCCGATCCTGACCAAGCGCAGTCGCCGGTCTCTGGCTCCTCCTGTTAGAAAGGCTTCCGGGTCCCTCTCATCGGCAGGTGCCACTGTTTCCACAGGAACCCGCTTCTCTTCTCCCCGGAGGATGTGGGCACAGCAGTAACCGGGACCCCTTACGTCAACCCCCACTTCACAGGTGAGGGGTAGCCACTCGCCTCGGGGCTCCACGTTGGCTGCCGGGCCTGGCAGCGGATACTGGGGGGCCTGAGAGAGGCCGAGACCCAGGGAAATTCACAGCAGGAGCGCTCACCACGCGGGTCCCGTGCCAGGCCTGCGCGCGCCTCTCATTCCGGCCCCACAGCAATGCCGGGGAGGGGGGGTGGACTATGAACAGCCCCCCGGGTACAGAGCAGGGGAGGCTGGCGAGGCTGTCACTGCCAAGGTCCCATAACCGGACGTGGCCCGGTGGACTTGTGGGTGAGCAGCGAGAGTTCGTTTTCTGGCTCTTCCCACACAATCCACTGTCATCAACGGCCAACCGGAGTGTGAGCTCTGAGGATGCGAGAGGGAGGTTGTCCCTCACCAGTTGTCCCCGGTGCAAAGGCGGGGGGAGGTGTGTGGGGGTGAGCTGCAGGCTGTCCTGACCTCCCCATCCCAGGCTGCGGCTGCCCCGCTCACGGGCCGGGTGGCAGGTGGCTTTTCCGACGGCAGCCTGGCGGGCTGCTGGGGAAGTGGAGGGAGCCCACTGACAGGGGCTGCGTTCGTTCGTTATCCTTGCACGGGACCGGCAGGGTCTCCCACCCGCCTCTGCCTTCTGTCGCTTTGCAGACCCGCAGCCCATCTGTTGGGCGTGAGAGGGCCGCCGGGGAGGCGATGGTTTCTGTGCTCCGCTGCTGAGCCCTGATCTTATCCTCCAGGTCAGCGGCCTCCTCTCCAGTCCGTGGCTCCCCCTTGTTTTCTCACTCGATGCCATGCCCCCCAGATGTAAGTGGGGCTCCCAGCCTCTCCGGAGGAGCCCGGGCCTGGGGGCCACCGAGAGAGGCCAAGACCCAGGGAAATTCATAGCAATGAGAGACGGGCCAGGTTTCCCGAGAGCATCTCCGCGGGGCTGCAGTTCCCACCGGGACGGGTTCATGCTCCTGGTCCCCAGCCCTCCTGAGTGTGGGGTGAGGGGGAAACAGCTGCTCAGACAAAGCCTGGGCTCCAGGCTGGCCCCGCCCAGCTCTGCCCCTGACACATGAACGCCCTTAGCTTCTCACAGGCTCCAAGCCCCTCGAGGCATCACCCAATCCACCGTTTGGTTGACAGATGAGGAAACTGAGGCTGAGGAGTTTAAGGGAGGACTGGAGCCCAGCTTTCCTGATACCAAGGCAAGCTGTCCCACTTGATAGCTCTTGGCCTCATTTTGCCCATCCATAAAATGGGCACAAGGCTTAACAGGTGTCCATCACCCTCTTCCAAGTCTAGCTTCCACCCCGGGCCCTTCCTGGGGTTGCCCTGCTTATGCTACAACAGCCTCTTCCCCCAAGAGAGCCCCCGCTGCCCTGCTAGACGGGGTGATGTTGGGGTGCCTCAGGGTGTTCTCCATGGATTCTTGCTACACCCTCTGCTATGGATTGAAATAGGTTCCCCCAGGAGATCAGAGTCTGAACCCCAGGAAATGTGAGAACATGACCTTGTTGGGAGACACGTCTCTGCAGATGTGATCACGTTAAGATGAGGCCATGAGAGCCGGCCCTCACCTAGTGTGATGGACACGAGGAGAAGACGGCCATGTGACGACAGAGGCAGAGGCTGGAGGGGTGCGTCTGCAGGCCAGGGGCACCCAGGACTGCGGACCACGCCAGGAACGGGGGCGGGAAGCAAAGGCTCCCCCTAGGCCTCCCGAGAGAGCCCAGCTCTGCTGATGCCTCGATTTCGGACTCCTGGACTCCAGGACCGAGACAGGACATTTCTGGTGTTTTCTGGTTTGGTTTGTTTTTTGGCAAATCATGGTGTTTTTTAAAAAAATCCTCATCGGAGAGTATGTTTATTGGTTTTAGAGAGAGGAAGGGAGAGAGAGAGAGAGAAACATCAATTGGTTGCCTCCCATATGCACCCAACCAGGGGACTGAACCCATAACCTAGGTATGTGCCCTGACTGGAATTGAACCCTGAACTGTTCGGCGTACGTGATGATGCTCCAACCAACCGAACCACCCGGTCAGGGTTCAGCTTTAGTCACCAGTTGGTGTCACGTGGCTCCGCAGCCCTGGGAAACGCACCGAGCCCCTCACCACAGCCCCGTGCTAAGGCCAGCCCGCACTGAGCAAAGACCGTTCCTCCTCCACGAAGGGTTCATAGCCGCTCCCCCAGGAGAAGCTAGGACCCCTCTCTGGGCTCCCCGAGCCACACACACATCTACTGTCGCACCAGTAGCCCCTGTGCGACCCCCCGACTTCTAATGCCCCATGGACTCTAAGCTGTCGGAGGACCCGGGTCACTCCTGGGCACAGGCCTCCCCTGTCTCCCGCCCGGAGCAGGAGCAAGTGTTGAACAAAGGCCCGAGTTAAAGGACGTCCCTTTTTTCCAGGAGGCTCTGTGACCATCCCTAACCTGTCCCGGCCGATCACTTCCCATTTCCCTGTCACTTCCTCACCGCGCCCTCCCTGGCCCCAGGGCGACATGTGCCAGCCTCTATGCAGCCAGCGGGCCCCACGCAGCTAATGGGGACTGACAACTTCCCCGAGGCCGGGAGGACAGGGCGGCAGGATTGGCAGGTTGGCAGGAGGCACCGGTGTGACGGATGGCCCTGCGAGGCCATTTCCAATTCGTTCCCCACAAGCCAAGCCTTTCTGGGAAGCAGAGCAGCGTGGCCCCTCCGCCACCCACTCCTGCACGTGCGCACACCCCTTCCTCTCTCCGTGGTCTCCTTCCCAGAACCCAGGTCCCTGCCCCTCCCGGTGCCCGGGGCATGGTGGTGGACAGGATGCGTCACTTCCACAGGCTTGAGAAGTGGGTGACACGCTCCCGGTGCTCCCCCTTTGCCTACACGGGCACCCCCATCCAGAGGCAGTGATCTGGGAGTCGCACACTTACCGTCCCCTCCTCCCTGGCCCACTCCCCTGGACCTCCAACCAGGATCCCACAACCCCAGGGCACGGCCTCTGTCCATGGTTCTAGGGCCAGGCGTCTCGGTGTGAATCCCTGGGCCCAGGTAGGTACAATTGCCCCATTGTACAGATAGAAAAACTGGGGCTCCAAGTCCTGAAGTGGCTGAGCCCAGAGTAGACGCTGAGGTTTGATTACAGGGCTGTCTGTCTCCAAAGTCCACATGTAACGTGTGAAGTTACTCGAAACGACCAAGAGCCATCTCTGGACACTCCGTCCTCAACCCAGAGCCCACCTCCTGGACCTAGAGTGACCGCACTGTTCCCAGGGAGGTGGGCCGGCCGGGGGTCGCAGAGGAGAGGTCAGGCCCACGTCCTCAGCAGAGGCCAAACCATCACACACAGCATGTGGTTGAGCTGACAAGAGACCCACTTCCCCTGGGACCTGGTGACTTTGGGCAGCCAGGCTAATTCCCCAAAGCCTCAGTTTCCCTGTAGGTCACAGGCTCATCTCTGCCCATCCTCCCCCAGGGTGCCCGGGGCTAAGGCGGAGATGGCATTTGTGGGAAGGAGCCGGGGAGTTAAGGGTCCCGTCACCAGTAGTGAAACCCAGGAGGGCTTCCCTGGGGAACTCATACGAGGAGAGGGTGGGCCCCAGAAGCCACCCTCACAGGGCTAAGGCCAGGAGGGTCCCGGGAGACCTCTGCTCCCTGGTCGGCCACGGCCAGGCCTGGGCAGCCGTGGTCTGAGAGCAGTGGCCTGGCAGTAGCATGCCCGGCGTGGGAAATGGGAGTTTACAGGAAGGCTACCAGTTACTGGAAAGGACA